AAGAATTGAGGCAGTTCTGAAGGCAAAAGGGGGTCCAACCCTTTACTAGCATGGGGTACCTAATAAAGTGGCCGGTGAGTGTACATACAGTACAAGTACTGATGTAATTTCATGTTTTTCATTTTCTTTTCTACCAAAGAACAACCCTGCCTGAACACTGACCCAGAATAGCTCCTCGTAGACCTTATTTATCCGTTTTTTTCTGCAAAAACAAAACAATTTTATGTTTTGTTGATTTAAACTCAAGTTAGTTTAAAAATGAGAATATGAAATAAGTTTTCCAGACGTTCTAAGCTGATAGAGAAATCTGGTAAGGTGGCTGAATAAAATCGTTTCTGCTTCCTTATTTTGTACTTGATGTTGGTCTATCTTGTAAAATTCCAGTAAAATACTTGAATATATTTCGTTGACTCTTTACTGTACAGTTGGATTAATTAAAAGATGACTCCCCACCTGTACTGAGTTCTTTCTCTGCAGCTAGATTAAGTCAGGCTTTTGTTTTTGTAATTTCACAACTCTGCACTTAACTGACTCTTGCTACACCAATCCCTGGTGTGCTACAACCTCCCCATGCAACCCTGCACTTATACTATAAGTAATAATAAAGTCTGCTCTAAAAGGGAAGGGGCAGCACAGCCTTGATTGAATGCTGACTCCACTCCTCTGCTCCAAAGAGGTTTCAGAAGCAATTCTCTGGCCCATATTTGCTAAAGTTGAACCATTATCATCGCTCACTGGATGCATCCATTTCAAGATCTAACTTACATTTTCTCTCAGTTATTTCTGTCAGGTTGAGTGGAGGCTTTAAAGACCCAAATGCAGAGATTAGTAGGCAGAGATAATTTTTGCTGATTTAATGAATGACTCACAGGCAACTGAGGCAGAAATCCAAAAATCCAAAATAACAAATCCAGAAAAAAAAACACAATCTTGGAGAAGTCAGGGAAAAACATACATAAGCAACCAGGAAGTGACGAGGAACCAGCACTGAGGAACTGCACACGGAGAGTATATATGGGAGACAGAACAAAGACAGGACTAATGAGCTGACAAGGAACAGGTGTGGATGGAAGGATCTAGAAGGAAGCCATAGGAAAGAAAACAAACACAAGGGGGAAACAGAGAGTAACTCAAGAACAAAACACTGCAAGAAAACAACTACAAATACAAAGAAACTAAAAATAAACTTAAACAGGGCAGAACCCTGACAATTCCTTCCATTTATCCAGATATAATGATCAATTATATTCTGTGGCTGCCAAGTATTCCTTCTTTTTAATGTAAGAAGATGTGTGTGTGTGTTCAGGAGATGACCCATTCCTGGCCTCCTCCACTCACAGCCATCCATACTCCTGGGAAAGCTGATCAGACCAAGTTTCCCATCCCAAACAAGGTGAGTAAAAATGTTACCCCACTGCCCTAAAAGCTACTTTTCGCTGTGATGTACACTAACATAAACATCCTTTCCACGTTTGTTGGCTTTTCTTACGTGAGAGCTAGGGAGTCGTTAGAAAAGATGTTAAATGACTAGAAAAACTCTTAGCCTTGGAAATAAAAAAAGTCCTTAGATTCACTCAGTTTATCTTATGCAGTCTTATTATGTATATCTCTTTTTTGCAAATGATTTCTTAGAGCTACGGGTGTTGAGTGACTCTTTCATGAACTTGCACTATCATAAGTTTGAAATGCGTTTTTCCTGGCTGTTAAAACCGCAGGTTGTTGTGGATCATTGCTGCTGCTTTTTCAGCGGTTACTGCTTCTTGTAAACTAATCTATTTTTACCTTACTCTCAAGGTGCATCAAAACCTGGCAATGAGGACTAGTTTATAACATTAACAGCAATTTAAAAAAATAAAGGTTGCTTAGCAATGAATAAGGTTTCCCTATTTAGTCTCAGTCACCATCAACCTTTAGAAAATTTCCCATATCACAGCAAATTGCATCCTCCCTTAGTGTGAATGCAAACAAGGTGCTGCTTTTTTTATTCCACTTGCGTAATAAACCTTTTAATTTTATCATAAAGATACTAACACGGTGTATGTACTTATGCTGCATTCAGCTAAAGAGTTTGGAGAGGTTATGCAAGGTGTCTTGAAGCATTTAGAGCATTGCACATGGCCCATGGTGGGCTTTCAAGCATAGAAAGTGTTAACATTTCAAATGCTGGAGTTGAAAAATCAAATCTTTAGCATGCAGTGCATCGACCAATCAGAGAAGCTCAAACTCTAATTAGTATGACGAAGGAATAGTTGGTTAAACTTGAGATAAAAAGTCACATTAATTTGGTTGTTTGTGTCCTTCTGGCCACTCTAATAATCAGTCAGTCACTATGACTATAGGGTTCCTACGTCTTGTTTCTTGGTTCAAATTCAAGGACTTTTGAGGGACTTTTCTGGACCAGTTCTTTGAAGACAAAGAACCAGGCACAGCAGCATTTTCCTACAAAATGAATGATATTGTCACGATTTGTTAGGAGGTTTTTATGAGGACCCAAATGCAGAGGCTGACAGCCAGGGGTGAGTTCTTAAAAGGTTTAATGGAGGTATCCAAAAAATCCGACATAAAAATCCAAAACAAACCAGAACCATGGAGACATCAGGGGAAAACCTTCAAGGAGCCAGGGTGAGACGAGGTAAGACGAGGAACCAGCAAAGAGGGACTGCAGAGGGAGTGTATTTATGGCTGACTGAACAAAGGTAGGACTAATGAGCTGATAAGGAAGCCAAGGGAAAAGAACACAAGAGGGCAACAGAGGACAGACAGAAAAACCTAAGCAACTTAAATGAATCCAGACACACCAATAAAGCTAGAAAACAAGGAAAAACCTGGCTAAACTTGAAACTGAAAACTTAGAGAAAAGCAACAGAACCAAGATCGTTACAGATATTTTATAGAGAGACTTAATGGCTTAGAATTTCCTTTATCGTATTCAGTTAAAAACAAAGGATTAATACAGTATGAAGCACATGTTTTGCAAAATGGTTAATTGATAGTCTCCCATAAGCTCCAAATGCTCACTGGGGCCACCTAGTGGCCAATAAAAATTTATCAGCTAAGACCTGTCAAGTTTATATATCTTAAATGTGTAAAATTATGAACTTTGAAAGGAATATCCAGACACATTAGCATACCTTTAATAACATCCTGCTTTTCTAAAGTGTTTTTATATCTGGGCCTTAGTTGAAAGGCAGATACAGCATCCAACTGCATCACTCCTCCTTCAGAGGCGTCAGCACAAAACTTTTAAAAATGAATGAGGATATATAATAGGGTTGCATTTCACTTAAAAATGCCAGTAGAAGTTTTTTTATTAATGTTTAAATAAAGTGAGAGTGTTCTGATAACTACACTGAAATATTTTCTTACTAATTGTGGCAAAACAGTTTGTAATTAAATGAATATCTACATTAACTTAAAATGTCAAAACGTGTTGGTGAAAAATATGCAATTCTGTGATCTGGTTCCTGTTAATTTTTAAGATCTAAAACACTTTATAATTACTTCAAGTTGCTACAACTGATAGCAGGAAATCCCCTAGCAATAGGACAGTTTAAGGAAGCTGTCACTGTGGGCTTCCAGAGCTACAGTCCAACTGTGTGCAGAGCTCTGCTGCTCAGAAAAGCAGAATATTTATTTGTAGGATGGTAATCCTGATGAACTGACTGCACTGATGACACTTTGTTTACAAGTCTTATCTTTAACTGTAGTGTAAAACTACTTTTTATCCCACTCATCACACTAGAGGCATCTGTTCTTTGCTTGACAGCAGTCTGACTTTAATGTCCAAGTGTTAGACGCCCATACGACACTAAAAACGCATTTAATGTAACCGCAGTCACACCATGACCAAACTCTTATCGACACCGTCAGCAGCCTTCAATTCATTAATCTAAATTCTAGTCCTATTCATCTAAAATATATATTTTACATTAAAATGTTCCAAAGAACTAAGAGAACAATATATTAAAATCAGTCCCTTAATTTTATTTTGCTTGTACAAACTGAAGAAGCATGGTGGATGTCACAGATATTTTTTTCCCAGAGTCTTCATCAACATTCTAAATGAAACCATCCATGACACTTAAGCTATGACTATAACTACGCTTTCCTTTTATAAAACACTTTCAATCTGCTAAATGTCTCAGTGAGGGTGGCTGGTAAAAAAACAGCCAGGCAGCAATACTCTCAAGGATTTTTAAAGAACAACATGGAGTGAGATCAAGAAAATGAAACTAAAAAATGACTGACAATACCTTTATTATTGTTATTATTATTAGCCTAATTAATTCCTGTCTTTTTTTTCATTCACCAGGAGACCCAGCATGTGACCTCAGGCTACAACACGCAGAGTAAGTTTTCCAGAAAACAAACACTCACATCCAGGTTTGGGTTATAATTAACTAACAGCAGTCAGGAGATGTGTGAGAAAACAGTTTCAGCAGGAATTCAAGCACATGATTGTGATCTGCAAATACTTATAATCATCGCCTTCTTTTTGTTTATACAATTCTTCTGATAATTGGTTATGTGTGGACTTATAAAGTTTAATGTTGATCATAATTATAAAATGTATTATTGCTGCACGTTTAATGCCGTACCTCTGGCTGACACTCTGTTCAGTAAGCCACTCGCAACCTTTTACACATAAGCCTAAATAGAATTCCAGCACCAGGCACCGTGAGCAGACATGTTGCAATCTCCTGGCAGTACCACAGAACTTTTAGAAAGCCATGTTGTTCAATTTAACAGAATATTATGAATATATTAAATAACTAGAACTGAACGTTTGGTTAATTAATAGGTCATTAAAATCAAGGGTAAAACCAAGTAATGATTAGTTAAAGGATTATAACTGATATCTAGTTACTCACCAAGGTTCTTTAATCTTTTACCCAAGGTTGGACTTCTGGTTGTCTTTCACCAATTTAGTAATTCAGACTATGGCTGTCTGCAGAGTTATTAATCACCTACCATAAAAAATTGTCTCTGTTTCTTTAAATGTTAACCAACAGGTGGGTGGATCTCGCTATGACTGATAAATCGTTCATTCCAAAAATAATCACAGACTACTACATGTTAAAATATATGTACATTTACTGGCTAATACTATCGCTATTACAGTATTATTATATCTAATACCTTTGTAACACTTCAGTCTAGTGAAAATAAGCACAGGGTAAAGGAACAGCTATTAAAGGGGAAGAAGGGGAAGGTGTACACTAAGAGTCCATACAAAAAGTCTTTTCAATTTCTTCTGGTTTAAAAGCTTAATGGATTAAAGCATTTGCTGTGTCCTTTAAAATAGCATAAAGGCTCTTATTGAGAAGTGGATTTAAAATCATTTTAAACGCTCCACCCTCAACGTTAGTGACATTTTGTTATTACTAAGGGTCAAACAATGAACATCATGACTTTATGAAAATAAAGTTTGTACTTAAAGTCTTAGGGAAATCATATTTGAATGTCAAATCATTCTGGCTTAAACATGTATATAAATGTAGTCTTTATCAGACACTATATTGTCCCAACATTGAGAATATTTCTATTTTTTTTTTTTTTTTTTAATCCTGTCTTAAAATCTTTGTGGTTTTTTTTTTTTGTTATCTTATGCAGGCCAGTTAATTGTATACCTAAATTCGGCCAATCATATATCAGCGGTCATCTGTCAATCAAATGTTTTTCAGTAATAGGATCTCGATTCATATGTCAAACCTAATATACGCAACGGTTGAAATAAGATTCTTCACAGAGTAGTGGTGATTGTTACAGGTGTATAGTTGGAGAGTGAACTGTTAGCTGTTTCTCAATTCACAAGAACACGACTATGGACTTGTTTACTCGCCAAGTATGTTCTTGAGAAGAACACAGGAAAGTGTGGATAACGGGAGCACGCAGCATAGATATGGGTCAATTGGAACAAAAGCGCACTGATGACATCACCACACGCAGAGAGAGGGCTGCTGCAGACGGGCTAACGTTAGCCCTGGCTACGGTTAGCATCGGAGGTCCGCTGGTTGCCGCGGTCCTCTCAACTTTGGACATTTCTTTTAAGTTACGCATTAAATCAGTAAATGGGCCATATAGTGATGCTTAAAAGTATGTTCTCGCCTTAAATTAAAAGGTACTTTTATAGAACAACGGCAACAGAAAAGAGAACTTTTAACTTAATACTCTGAGCTTTGTGAGCGCTGCATTGAAAGGAGACGGAGGAGACTCATCCACGACCTCCGACACTAAACTCTCCTCCTCTTGCATGTTTCCTCTGTCCATAGCATTCATTGACAGCGTTGTTTCTAAGTCACCAATTTAGTGCTACTTGGTCCCAATGGAATTTCCCATTAGGAACCTACTAGCACTAAAACACAAGGGGGGAACATATGCTAACCTGTCAGCATTTGCTAACTGGTTAGCATATGCTTCCAACAAACCGGCCACAACCAAACATGCTTGGAACCTTCCACCACAATAGTCCCGCCCACTTGATAAATGACCAATCACGTTCACTTTATTCACTCGTGTAAAGTCGGGCACCACTCGGGAGAATTTGGAAATGCAGTGTTTGGAACAGCTGCTTCCCTACGACTTTAAAGGCATTCCAGTACTTTTGGATAGGTAGACAATAAGGTATAGGAACAATACAGCTGGCAAAATTCCAAAATACAGACAAATTCACAAAGATCTGCAAGTAAAGTTTGTCAAAAATAGGAATATTTTTTCTAAAATTGTTCTCCACTAAATAAGGTTGTCAATTTATATCTTTAGATGAGAAACTATGTGTGCATTGAAGGGAAGATCTGCCGTATTTATGTATGATTATGTAAAATACAGCCAGAGGAATTTGTAACGGATTTGCAAAGGCCGTTGCTGTTTGCTACAAGCTGATAGTGTGAAAACTGGTGGTAATTGTGATGCAGGAGGGCAGGGACACATAAGGTGTACATACATCATCTTAATTTCAATATCCACCGCTTTCAGTGAGATACGGAAGGATCCTGAGGCCTACACCTGCACAAGCTAAATAAGGCTTCCTCAAGCGCTTTCCAGAGGCTGTGGAATTTTATTAAGGCCAGGCCTGGATGTTCTGAGAAGTATGCGGGGCATCTGTAAATCTAAATATTTCCTGCACGCCTGTTTCTTTGCTTTGCGCGAGGGAAAAAAAAAAAGAAAAGAAGAAAAACTGCTGATCCCAAATGTCACGTCATTTTTGTGGAGGTAGTTGGAGCTGTTTGATGAAAAACTCATCCTTTCAGGTTTATTACAAAACATGAATGCGTTGCTCATCCTGAAGAAAGGCAAACACACAAAGACAGCCGGTAATAAACAAAAGAGCAGAGTCGTTTTCCAGGGTAACGATGCTACAAGACTCCAGTGATGTTACTGTGGCTTCTGGTCAACACATATCAAACAGACTCAGGCAAACCTTGACACAAGCAAAGCCGTGTCAAGAATGATTGAATGTCCTCTGTCTTGTCCCCTGTTGTGTTGCAGAGAGATGCACTGTGCCAGCTAACAAGCCTGCTGCAAAACCAGCGACTGCACCTCAGAAGTCGTGAGTACCTCCCTCCAACACAGACACACACATAAATGGAAGAATTTCTGACCTGCTGCTGTTTTTCGTGCCTCGAGGTAAAATTAAACCTGACTCTTGGATGGAATTCACTGGTGGTAGGAAGGAGAAAAAAAAAAAAAAAGATTGTGTGGATCAGAGCAGGAAAGTGCAGCTACATTAATTTAACCTGAGCCAGGAGCATACTGCAGCTCCTCTGGCTGTAGTCCACTCCACATCACTCAGAGTGGGATGAGATCAAGGAGGCCAGAATCCTGGCTCATAAAGCCGCCCTTTAATCCCTACTTTTCATGTGTTAAACTAAATAAAATTTAAACTATTCAGTTATGCAAACTGCAAACACCTTCAAAACCAACACTTCCAGTTACAGCTCATTGAAGTGATATAAAAGGAGTGTTTTTCTGCTATAATCTTAGATTTCAATGTAGTTTTCTTTAACCAGCTTTTACCTATATTGTTAATGTCATCAATTTTGACCAAAAAATACAAATTTAACAGTTGAGTCAAACCCTGTTCCCATGAATTCTTCTCTTTTACATTTAGTGTACATTTAACTCAGCAGGTTTAACCTGTTGCCTTGGAATTACACAATACTGATTCAAAGCCCAAACTTTTTATACGGAAGCCCTGAAATGCACAGTAAAACAGGACAAAGTGCGTTCACAGACTTTTTGAAGGGCTGAAGTAGAAAGCGACAAATAACTGCGCATGAAGCTCGTCCTCACTATTGTAGAAGGCACTTTAGCACACGTTTCAGCTCCCAAGAGGGCCCTTAAGCATACATTTTGAGTCTGTCTGCCTATCTTTCTTTCTGTACTTAGACTGCAAAGACAGGGCATGGTATTTCTTTCATGGTATTAATAAGGTAGTTTGGATCCTGATTCACAGCTTCAGCTCTTTCTTCAGTAAAAAACAATATTTATAATGTGTTCTGATATTTATTCGAGTCTTATTCCTCTTTGAATCAAATATTTGTTGTGCTTTTCCACATTGGATCGTGCACTTCTTTATCATTTTTACCACTTCGCTGGGAGGAGCTAACTGGCTTAGCATCATAACTTCCTTGTTTACCCATTGCACACATGCACAGTATAGTATATCCACTGTGATTGTAAAGTAACAGAGTAAGGCTTTATTTACTAATTGTCATGATTTTATTCTAAGATCGGACCCACATGCAGAAAACCAAACAGAGAGACCAAGGGAAGGTTTAACAGGTTTATTGAGAACTGATTGGGATGGGTCCAGTGCTGCTCTGAACACTGGCGAACCGGGACTGAAAAGTGAAGGGGAAGGTACTGTGGTTAGTTCAGGCTCAGTGGGAAATTTGAGCTTCAATTTACAAAAGGGAATAAAGGCAACAGGACTCACGTTTCTTGTAAAGGTGTCTTTCTCTGAATCCAGTCGGTGTGGGTTGTTCCAGTAATTGACTTGCTCGTTGGGGGGCGGACAGGGTTTACCCAGGTTGAGGTGTTTCCTTGAGGAACGGAGGAGCTGACTGCCACTTAGATTTTCTATGGTACTTGAACTGTTTCTTGTGGAGATGAATCCCCTGCTCAGTGTGAAGCTCAAACAATCCTTTGGGGAAAAGTATATCCAAACCTCCAGTTTGAATCCTAGCTCAGTTTGAAGCTCAGATGATCCTTCCAGGGGGAGAAGGTCCAAAACATCCAGTTTGCAGGATGACTTCCTGCCGAGAGGCAAAGACAAAAAACAACAAGGTTAAGACTCAGGTTGACAAAAACTCAGTTTGACTCAGCTAAACTCAGCTTGGCTAGAGTACCCAAAACTGGCAAACACTCTGGTGTCGAGGTAGTGGCAGTTAGCAGCTTAAGAGTCTTAAGAGTCTGGTAATGAGGCAACCATCCGCAGGTGTGTTAGAGGACCAACGAGAGCCAGGAGCCACCTGGTGGTGGAGGGAAAACACACAAAAACACAACCCACAAAGACTGGATTCCTAACACTAACAAATTATAAAAACAAAGCCTAAGACACACAATTAACAAATATTATACCTGCACTTGTTAAACCTTCAGAAAAAAATTGTATGCAAGCAACAGTGAAATACTACTACCTCATAAATTTAAAAGTCATAACAAATGTATGCTCCGTTAACTGAACACATCATGTGTAATTTGGGGTTATTATAGCAGTCCTTACTCTATAGTCTGTGTACAACAAACTATTTGCTTTCTGTGCCACATCAGGAGGAACACAGACAAACCTCTGCTGATTAATTATTTCTATTCATTAGAACGATTGGCTAAGAGCGTTCCTCACTGCTTCAGGGCTTTCATTTAGCCATGATCCCATCACATTATGTTCAGACAGCTGCATATGTGTAGCAGAGCAGCAGAAGTGAGTGAAACCTCTCCAGGAGTGAGTCAGCTCTTTAATGCTGCCGCTTCAGAAAGCAGGAATCACTCTGTGTATAGTCTTATAGCTGCAGTACCACGCTGGGGTTTAACTGTGCTACAGTTTGCTGAGGTAAAGCTGGGCAGTGGATGGAGCAAGGCACTAGCAATGCCAGGGTTACATGTTCAATTCTTTCTGCTGTTCCAGGTGATGAGATTGATGTTAAGTGTTTACCACCAAGAGACAGGTGGCTGATCAGGTGCAAACAAGATGTTAGCTGCTAATGGGGTATGTCCCCACGGGGGTTTGGTCCACTTTCAGCAGCCCTGCAGCTTTTAGGAAGGCAGAGTCATCTAGTTCATGGTAGATCTGTCACAGTTACAATGTTATCTACTTTCTTGTATAAATACTCAGTAAAAACATTTCTGTAGTTTGTTTAGGCAGTTATCTATCTATCTATCTATCTATCTATCTATCTATCTATCTATCTATCTATCTATCTAGATCTGTTTGTTTTGTCTAGTTAGATAGGTCTATCCATATAGCTAGGTATTTTTAGTTTTTCTTATTTAAATGTATTTTAGTAATTATCTCAAAAGTCATTCAGAGGAATTTAAAAAGGATATTTCAGGGTGTTGGTCTGTGCCTCTTAAGCACCAACAAACTAAATGCTGAAAATCAACCAGAGGCTTCCATGTCTGCAACAGCAACCAGCTAAATTAGAGCGGTTAGCTTCTTGTTCGACTTCCAGTCTGTCCTTGAAAGTAGTCAGTTTAAGTCAAAATCTGCTTTTAAAAGTTTCTGCTGAGGAATAATTTGATTCCTGAGCACCGTTTTAATGGGATTTTAGAAAAACATTTGCATTCTCTGAGGGAGACTTTCTAAATTCCAAAGAGTTTTGATTTTATTTTGGCTGTTTTTCTATGTCAAACCTTGCAGAGATGGAAGTCTCCACGTTGAATCTTTGTTTTGGTCCCTAACAGTTTTAAATCTGAGCGTGTCTGTCCCCACCAGCGCTTTTTCTCTCTTGTTCAGTTTATTCATGTCCTCTCTACCGGCCCACCTGCTGCTCACTTCCCGATCACTATCATCTCCATCTCGCTCACTGTCGCCCTCTCCTCATCTGTCCCTCCTTATGAAATAAACTATGGATCCATTATTCATCCATTCAAACACGCTCAAACCGACTATTTCCCCTTATTTCGGTTCCGTTCTTCAAAACTTGTTGGTCTAAAAAGACACTCAGCACCAGGGGGAGTGTTTTTTTAGCGGCGCAGGCACTGAAAAGATTGGTTCGTCAGGCAGTAAAAATCCCTTCAGGGGATTCTCTTGTCATAACAATAGCGGTTCCTGCTCAAAATAAAAGGAGCTGGTGTCTGTGTGTGCTTTTGGGGGGTTATATAAAGCAATAAAACTGCAGAAACCTGCCTGTGCTCATAAATACTGAATAGTTTATCTGCTAAAGAGAGGATGATGCTGATGGAAAGCTTGTCTTAATGTACAGCGTGTGTATATCTTTTTCCTACCCTGAGAGATTAAAACTATGAGTAAAACTCAGGAACAATTGAAAGTAAACAGGGCAACCTTTCAAATTAGACAACCCATGAAACATCAGCGTAAGCGACTGATCTGTGCAAATCATGTCTCTCTGGGTCCAAAGCAGTGCTTGGCTGAAGGTCAGGTAGTTTCCAGGTCAAAAGGTAATCGTCTTTGTCCTGCTTTGCTCTGTAAGCTCAACATCTGCTTGGGTTTTGTAGCAGATAAAAGTCACTTTCCTGCCGTCTACTCCAACAGGAATCCCCTCTATTTCACTGTCTAACCCATCTGATAACTAAAAAGGCTCTTTAGAGGGAACAGCAGCTAACATGTCCCCACATCTGAGGTGACGCAGGCAGACAGAAGGCCATGGCTGCAGTAACACGTTTGCCCTTGTGTGTTTGTCTGTGCAGGATGCTGGAGGATGACCTGAAGATCAGCAGTGACGAAGAAGAGGCTGAACAACAGGTCAGATCACTGCAGCATGTCTGTCCTGTCAGTTGTGAAGATTATTGGTCTTTATTTTGTCTGTCCTTTAAATACAGCTTTGCTTGAATCTGTTCCAGACCACACAAATGTGAAATTCTGTCTGTGGGCATCTGTTAGCTGCCTTTATCTGTCTACATGTGTAACCTATGAGATTGGGGTGGTCTAAGTTAAATTCTGTCCGAAGGGTGAAAAATGTCTAACAGGATCCTACAAATGTATCCTACCTCTTTAACCTTATTATGTCTTTCAAACTACAACTCTTAGGTTGTATTCACACCATAACAGTCCTTTGGTCTGCTAGTTTGGTACCGATCAAAAGCAGACATTATTTTATAGAGCTCTTTTGTATCCCAACTGTACTTTATGTAAGTGGATTAAAATTCTGTATTATTTAAACTGTGGACCTTATTAGTGATAAGGACATTTTGAAAGGTTTCAAAAAAGTTTATATAGCTTAAAAACACCAGTTTGTTTCAGAGAAAAGCAGCCTGTTTACTTACCCTGCACTTTGTACTTGTCCACTTTGTGCAGATCTATACCAAAAACAGATATAATTAATCGGTATCATTTAAGGATAACTTCTCTCTTGAATGTACTCCAACACCTGAAAAAAAATAAAATAAATTGAAGCCATAAAAAAATAAGTAAAAACATCATAATACTGCCTAAAATACTGTTTCTGTTTGCCGCAATCTGCCTGTAACCCACCAACATGGAGGATTTCTGAGTCACTTAATTCTGTTTCCAGCCTTGCTGGAACTACTGAAGCGGTAGAGCCATTGGGAGGCTGGAGCAGGTCATTCAGAAATCAAAACTTTTTGTTTGTATTTGGTAACATGTTAGAGAATGTGCCCTTCAAGTCAAGGATAATCCACCCAGCAACAGACAACATAACAGGTTTGGTTTCAATACTGCATTTACTACTACGGTGGCTTGTTAGGTCCAATGTGACATATGCTTTCTGCTTATGGACCCAACTGAACCCAGTTTGTATACAAACCTGAAGACAACCAAACAAGTTCGTCACTGACAAGTAGTTTTGTCTGTACCAAAGGTCACTGGTATTTATTCACACCTGACTGATTCTTGCTTCTTGCGCAAAAGGTAGGGACTAAGGGCAGAAACAAACTCTGGTCCATTTATAGTGGATCAAATGTGGCAGGTTTTAATGAGACCTTTAGTTTTAGTTTACCTTGTTGGGATTTTTTGTGACAAAATTTTTATCATTCATTATTTCTTCTATTTTGTCGTTATTATTGTTGTGAAGGAACACGTGAAGGTAGGAGCTCTGGGTGGGTGAGAACAAATTTTACATGCAAACAGCTATGATTAGTGATACCATTGCTCATTACTGTAAGCAATCTATTCCCACTGTGAAACATGGTGGTGACAGACGGATGCTGTGGGTGCGTTGTTTCCTGTTCAGGGAAGATAATTGTCTTGGCACTGATGTGCAGAGGGATGGAGCCAAAAGGACGACCATTCTCCAATGAGGCCATCCAATCAGACTGTGTTTAAAAATACACTATAACCTGGAAATCAGATTTTTTTTTCTTCATTTTAAAACATGTGTGTTTGGCTTGTGAAAGTGTTTCTTTTTTATATGTGACCACAAGATCACCCTCTCCACAAAGCCCAGTTTTGGTCCTTCTTGTTCGTCATTGTGGAAGGTTGCTAACATCAGCTTGCCTTGCTATCACCACTCCCACCTCTATTTAACCAAAAGGGGCAATTCCAACAATCACCAACTTGTCAGGTTGGGTGGAGGTTTAAAGAGGACCCAAAATGCAGAAATGGAAGCTGAGTTGGTTTCTAGCAGATTTATTAACAAAAAGGGGCAACAGAAGACAAAGTCTACAAACAAAATATTGAAGTCCAGGGAAAACTCACATGAAGGGCGAAAAAATGATAAAGAACAACCAGCCGACACTGACTGAACAGGAGGTGTATATATGGGAGGAAGAAACAAAGACCAGGCTAATCAGCAGATTGGGAGCAGGTGTGGACAGAGCAAGCTAGAAGGGAGCCAGAAGAAGGGGACTGACACAAGAGGGCAACAGAGGATAAACAAAAAATATGTAAGAACTCAAATATCAAATCCAAAAAACACCACAAAATGGGAAATGAAACAATAAAACTAGACAGTCTGTAAATGTCAGTGCTTTTGTTACCTTCTACCTATTGTGTGAGAGACTTGGAAACAATGCTAAACGAACAATGGATAATTGCTAATGTTGCTAATGCTACCTCCCCATGAAGAAGAATACACACAGGTCAAATTCTCATGCTTACCCTTGCAATAAAAAAGATGTATGGAAACGGTTCTGAATGAGTTCTATTTAATATTTTCTGCAAAAAAATATTAAAGATGAATTTAACAACAATTTCTGAGGAATTGTATTTGTAAAATACCAGGTTATGAGTCCTTGGGGCTATTTTTTCAGTAGAATGAAAAATTTGATCCGTAACTCTGCTACAGCTACTGTGTACCTGAATAGAGACAGCTCTTTAAACACACTTTGCAAAGTTTTATTTCAAAAAAATCTCAAACCAATTAACATTTTTTTCCACTTTCACTCTAAATACTGTGATGTATAAAATACCAAAAAAAAGATTAGGTTTATGTGTGTAACCTGACACAATAAAAAAAAAACAAATCCAGCGGGAGTTAATGTGCTCCCTGAATACCAGATAAAATAGTCATATTTAGAGAGCCCTCTTTTAATAACCTGTGCTTCACATTAAACAGAATCCACTTTTTTTAGAATGTATTCTATTTACAGTCAAGGTACCGAGTAGGATTTTCTAGGTCAAATTGCCGATCTGCTGTTAAGTACAAAAGTCAACATGGAGTCTAAGAAAGAACTGCCCTGGTTTGATCTGAACACGTTGCCCCTCTGATCCCGCGTCAGATGCATTACTGCGATGCCGCAAGGTCGGCCAGGCCGGCAGGGAAGGTCCTCAGACCCCTTCCTCTGCTCGGAGCAAAGCCAGGAATACACCGGAGACAACTTCTCTTTCTTTAATGAGATCAAACCAGCTGCTGCGGCTGCTTCTACAAGCGCAGCAATCTTTAAATGTCATGTTCGTTTATTGCATCCGTGGACTACAAATCAAATTAAACAAGCATCAGGAGCACTGATAAAAATATGAGTAAGATAAGACTGATTTGGAGTGTCACAGAAAAGGCAGGATTGTTAAATGAATGGAAAATCATTACATTCCAAATTAAAGGACAGTTATCAATGCAAACTCTGCAATTACTTTCTCCTTTTTGTGGAGAGTTGTGTAGCAATAACTCTAGTAAGGAAACAAAGTTTTTATTAAAGCAGGAAAGTATTGATTATTGCACAAGAAAATATCACAATTTTGCTCTTTTGATCTCTCTACTTGGTTACATAGATATGACCTGGTTATAAATCCATTGAGCTCCTTCTGATTGAGGATATTTAAAGCCATTGGTGTTTATATACCTGAATAAACCGGCAAAAAAGTAAGTAATTAAAAGGTAGTTAAATACATTTAGTTACAATGGATGTGTCCCAATTTAGGGGTTGCATCCTTCAAAAGCTACATAATGTGGAACAATTACATCACAGCGCTGCCCTGAAGGCTTTCCCAATCCACAAACCCTCCTAAGATGCCTTTAAATGTGGCTGACAAATGCATGCTCCTTTTGCCTGATCTGAAGGGTGGGTTAGGTATTTGTTTCTTAGCCCATCATTTCCCATTTCATAGTGGTTGGAAGTGCATTGGTCAAGCTAAGACAACGCAAGAAGGTGGCAAACATGAACGCAGGCATAGTGCACTTTCTGTCACCTAAAATAAACTAGTGAGATGTTTTTTAGATGAGAAGATTAGATTATAATTTGAGATAATATATAAACATAGTTTATAAACAGTTCATTTAAGTCCTTTATTTATTACACAGTACATTTTGGCTGAAGAATTTAAGTTAAAGGTATTGTGGAGGATTTTCACTAATTTTTTAAAAGACCCACCCTCTGCACTAAAAAAAAAAAAAAAAAATGCACATGCGAGAACATGCATGGGCTCATTTCTCCTCGTGCATGCTCTGTTTAAAAGTGTTGGTTCTCATAGCTTACACAAGCTTACTGTGTCTAACCGTCCGCCCAGGGAAGAATTTACCATCAGGCAATACTAGGCAGTTGTCTATGACCCCAAGTTTGTTGCATCGCTCATACAAGCTTAATTTCCAAAAGAACTTTTCAATTTTTCCACTAAAAATCGGGAAGAACACGTAGGATGGCCTTACGTAAACATATCACCACAATGATTGGCAATTCAGGGCTGTTCACTGACCCATTGGATAACACTGCTGCCTTGCAGCAAGAAGGTTGTGGGTTTGATTCCCGGCCCGGGGTCTTTCTGCATGGATTTTTCATGTTCTCCCTCAGCATCCATTGGTTTTCTCCGGGTTCAGGGTGTACCCCGCTCTCACGCATAGACAGCTAGAGATAGGCACCAGCACCCTTCATGACCCCGCTTGGGATAAAACGTGTCAGAAAATGGATGGATGGATTGACAATTAGTAGAACAAGTAATTTAAATGATCCACCCAGAAACTGTACCTTTAATGTAGGAGCACTAGAGTAATTTACTGTTAACTTCAGTTTTGAAAATGGTAAAAGAGAGCCAAGGACTACAGTGTAAGCTTCCATTTATATAACTTAGAAAATATATTCTGAAGTGGTTGGTCTTTCTTAACACCAGGTTGTGTTTTCTTTATGGATGCTGTGATATCAGTATGTTTAAATGTGTTAAATAAGGAAGTCAGCTTTGTCACTCTGGGGCGCATTCAATATGGGCCATGCTGTTGTCCTGCACAGCCTGTCCTGTTTTTCACTATGAAAATTGGCACCGTGGCCTTCTCTTCGCTAATCACTGTCATCATGCACTAATGATGCCAGAGATGAGTTCAAAGCAGTCAGTGGGGTCCGTGCTTCTGTTCACTCCCC